AATTTGAGTTGAATTACTGAAATAAATGAACTTTTCCACGACATTCTAATTTATTGAGATGCACCTGTATATTCATAAAGAGTTTCATGAGTTAATTTTTAGAGTTTCAAGTTCAGTCATGTAATTAATGACTGTTTTTTTTTACCAGGTTAAACTAAAATTTACGCGAGAAAGTGTTCATATAGCACTAGTGTTATTTATCCAAGTCTGACAGGTCATGACAAGTTACATGGTATTGCATAATGCAAAAAAAAAAGAAAAAAGGATGCAATCTTTGTAGCAATTTCCTTGCATGTGAGGCCATTTTGATGCAAAGCGATGATGGCTGCATGTGTTTCTTTGCTTAAGCAGCAAACTTTGCAAAACACAAAATGTATGTCCCTGCCAAAACTTTTGGCCATGACTGTATATTGCAGATTCAGAATTATATTTTACTATAGAAATACAAGGGTGCATTAATTATGTTTTTATTTTTTTTTTTGTCGTAGAATAAAATGTGTTATGTGTTAAACACAGACTTTATTTCATTCAATTTGACCAAAAACCCATTAAAATCCCATTGACTTCAGGACGGTGGAACCGGAAGTGACTATAAAGGTAAGAATTAAATGCTGTCTTCTCCACTCCAATTTTACACATATACGTCATCATTTGACCTTTTCCCCCTCAAACGCTGAAATACGGAAGGCGGATGGCGCCAAAAGTCTTTAATGTGAACAAGTGCATTTTGACAGTGTCAACACTTATGCTGCGTCTCAATGTGCCTACTTATAACATGCCCTTAAAGTATGTACTCCTTTGGTGAAGAAAAAGTTCACAATTTTGAGTGTGCAGTAGAAGAGTAGGCAAGCTTTGGGACGAACTATCACGTCATGATTGGGTCTTTAACAGACTGCTCTGTCGCATAGTTACACACACCCTGTCACTGTAAACTGGCCTGTCAATCATCCTGTCACAGTTAACATCCTCCACATTTCATTTCATTTCATTCCTACCGTATTAGAGAGAAAAGAAGTAGCACTTTGATCTGCCAGCCGTGGGTCTTTATGCGGAAAACTCTGCTCATATTTTTTTTGTATAATGATGCATTTAAATGATAAAGGCACAATATGTACGAATTTTTTATTAAAATATCCAAAAACCACTAGAACAGTGTTATATATTTTGCTGACTTGTGTACTTACATTATCTAGTGACACGGACCGTGTCTATAGTGTCATTGTGTCGCCTGCCAATGACG